CTGGCTCAAAGGCGATGCTGACATCGGTTATGGGCCCAGTCGTCGTTCCAGTTGTCTGACCAGTCGTTGTTCCAGTCATCCCAGTCGTCCCAGTCGTCCCAGTCGCCAGAGGTTTCTGTTGCTGATTGCCGGACGGCAGAATGGAGGCTGCTTGCTGGACTGATTTGTGGTGCCCAGAAGCAGAGCTGTTTTGGAGCAGAGTGTTCAAGCTGCCGCTGTTGCTGTTGCTGCTGCTTGATTTATGGATGTATGTTGCTGACTGCCAAAGAAAGAAGATAGCATCCCTGTTTGCCTGTTAATTGCGCTCTGAGTGGGAGAGAGAGTGGCTGAAGGAGTCAAGGCTTTATCTGTGTTGCACAAGGGAAGTGTCTTGCTCTAAGTAATAGCAGACATGGCCTGTGCACATTCTGGCCAGATGGCTCTGTCCTTTCCTCTCCTCACGCCTGAGACCTATGCTGTCTGGCAGGTCAAGATGAAAGCGCTTTTACAGAGGGAAAAGCTATTCTTCACTATAGAAGATGACCCTCCTGATGAGGATGCAGAAGAATGGCCTGAGTGGCATGCTGCAGATATGAGAGCCCGAGGGACAATTGTTTTGAGTGTTTCAGACCACTTTCTGGTAAACTTAGAGGGTCAAGAGACTGCACGAGCTGTTTGGCATAAGTTGAGAGATATGCATTTGAGGCAGAATGCTGGTTCCAGTGTGATTTTCTTCAAGAAGCTGTGCAGGCTGCAGTTGGAGAAAGGTGGTGATTTGCCTAGCCATCTATCTCAGTTAAAGCATCTCAGACAGGACCTTGTTCAGCGAGACCTGGCTACTTCAGAGGCTGTGTTTGCAATGCTGATGACAAATAGCCTAGACGATTCTTACGATGGAGTAGCTGCCCAGATTTCTACAATGCCTTCTGACCGGCTAATGGAAGATTATGTGTCTAGCGTGCTCCTGAATGAGTGGGATCGCAGACAGGCTGCAAGAGAAAGCCGGGACTGTGCTGTTAAAAATGTGCTTGAAAATGTGCCTAAGTCTCCAGCAGGGGAAAGTGAAAGTGAAACTGCTGCTGTTAAAGCACTAAAGCTGAGGCGGTGCTTTTCGTGTGGAGCACAAGGCCATTTGAGTTTCCACTGCAAGAAATCTTCAAAGAAGAAGGGAAACTTCAGAGGCAGAGGGGGAGGAGGACGAAATCCCCAAGCACCTGCTACTTCAAAGGCTTTGATCTCTCGCTGCTCCAATCAACGTGGGTGGAGTTTCTTCGTAGTCAACTCTGGCTGTACCAACCACGTGACCAATGATGAAAGTCTCTTTGTTCAGCTTGAGAAGCAAGAGAAAGAAATTCATCAAGCAGATGGGACTGTTTTCAGGAGTTTGGCTAAGGGAACTGTGTTTTTAAAGAGCCTGAATGCAACTATTAAGAATGTCCTGTATGCGCCTGATATTCAGGACAATCTGTTAAGTGTTTCCCAGCTTGATCGTCAAGGGTTTAAGGTGGTGTTTGCTAAATCTCGTTGTGAAATTCGTCGAGATGGCAAGCTCATTCTGTATGCTAAATGTGTAAATGGTTTGTACCAATTGCCTTTTGTTTCAGGTACTGCAGAAGCAACTGAGAAAGAGTGTTGCAATTTATCTGTAGATAAGAATGAGAAGTTGCAGGACCAATGTATTCATTATTATCGCCGTGTAGTAAAGTTAGTGTTTGCTTAGAAGCTGTTCTTTGGTCAAGCAACGAGAGTGAGGCCTTGTGGGAAACCAACAAGCCACAAGGACCATGGGAAATAAGTTTTGTCCCTTTAACCCCAGACCAGCAGGCTTCCAGGGTGTGAAAGGTTTATTATGGGAAAGGAAACCCTTGATTTAATGGAAGGTTTGACACCTGGGTCCGAAGTTATGTGCATTCCCTCAGTGATGTTATCTGCCCTTGATTGCCTGGGAATGTGCATCTGCATAGGCTCCACAGAAAGGGAGGAAACCCCTTTGATTTAGGCTCTGGGTTCTTAATTGGTCCAGCTGCCAGAAGTTAGATTGATTAGCCCGCAAGCCGGTCATTGGAGAATTTAAAAATAATCAAGAGTTATGATTGGTTTTGGGGGTTCCGACGCGACCTGCAAATTGGGGATAAAAGTTCTTGGGAATGGCTGGGAAAGTGCGCTCTGCAATCCGCAAATAGCCCGGCTGCTATTGCTCCACCTAAGTAGCCGTCCTTTCGTCCTTTGTGAGGGAGAATTGCTGAAACCTTTGACTGCGGATCATTAAAAGGACTCTAACTATTCTATCTGTCATTTAGTCGTGAGTATGTCAGTCAGTTAGATTTCACAATGTTCTTGTTTTTCTTGCCTGTAAGTTTCAAAAGAAGTGCCTGCTTTTTAGCATGTTTCCTTATGTTCTTTTAAAATAAATTTTAAAGAAAGAAACTGTTTTGGTTTGTGTGCCTTTCCGGGGGAAAAGCTAATTCCTAGCCTTATGCTTGGTTGTGCTCTACCGTAGAATTTCTGTCTGCAAGTCTGTGGATACAACTTGTGGAGTGGGGGTAACCAGCAATAACGGGGCACAGCCTCTCCCTGGGTTGTGGCTCTGGGTTCCCCGGGACAAAGGGAGTGGTGGCAGCCTTACCGGTTCTATTTTGTCCTGTTTCTGTAAAACGTAAACGTGTCTGCCAGCCCTGCTCAAGAAACCTGGTCTGGCCGGAGAGCAAAGACAGATGAGGGAGGGGTGAGCGGCTGGGGGCAGTTTACCACACACCGTGTTTATGGTCATTTGACTTTCCAGGCTGTGGCAAAAATGCCTGATATGGTTCAGGGTATGAAGTTGAAAGAATGTCCCTACCACATGAAATGTGTTTCTTGTGCTGAGAGTAAGGCAAGGCAAGCTCCCAAAGGTACAGAGTCTGGGAGAGAGACCAAGAAACCATACGAAGTCATTCATGCAGACTTAGTGGGGCCTCTAGTGCTCTCTAGAGGCAATTCGAGGTTTTTCATGGTTTTGATAGATGCCTATTCTAGATATGTATGGGTCTATATGCTGCAGAAAAAGTCTGAAGCCTTTACCAAGTTTCGCCAGTTTTGTAAATGGCTCAGAAATGTACATAATGAGAATGTATGTTGTATTTTCACAGACAGGGGTGGTGAGTTTTGTTCAGAGGAGTTTGAGGCTTTTCTCTCTGAACAGGGCATTGAGCATAGGACGGCCACGCCCAGATCACCCTGGCAGAATGGTTTATGTGAGAGAATAAACCAGACCCTGCAGCAAGGAATCAGAACACTGTTACATGATTTGGGGCTGCCCAATCCCTATTGGGCAGAAGCGCTTTCGTGTTTCTGTCACTTGTATAACAGAAGGTATCAGTCCGCAGTAAATCGCACCCCATATGAGATGCTTCACAAAAGAAAGCCATGTGTAAAGTATTTTAAAATTTTTGGATCGGAGGTTTGGGTGCACACCTCGCAAGGTAACAAACTGAGCAAGCGTGGAGGACATGGTGTTTTCCTAGGATATGAGAAAGGGTCTTATCGTGTCCTGATCACAGACACGAAAACCATCAGGCTGACCAGGAGTATAGATGACAATCCACAATGGGACAGAGTTGGCGTTTTTCAGTGCCATCCCATTTGTGATGATGGTGCAAAAGGGGCAAAGACAGTTAAGAGGGAGGCAAGTGCTGTTGTAGCTGACAATAATTCTGATGCTAATGTAGATTCAGATGGTGGCACAGATTATCAGAGCCCAAAAGCCTCAGGTGAGTCTGACACTGACTCAGACTTAGCAGCTTCATATACTTTAGCTCCCCATTCTCCCAAAGAGGAGGAAGCACCAGAACAAGAGGATCAGAGAGTTTTGCGCAGATCCGAAAGAACAACCAAAGGTATACCACCGAAAAGGTTTTCTGAAGAGTTCGCTAAGGCTGCGGTCACGAGCAACTCTGGTGGGGTTTTTAAACCAGGCATAAAGTGTGCTGACAGTAATAGCACAAAACGCTTCATTTATTTCCTTACCTGACCTTAAGTGGTTCATGTGTAATATATTTAAAGGATCAGGATTGAAGGAGCAAACGTGTGTTTGAGTACAAAAGTGGTTTGTTCTAATTAGTAATATTAATTTGCATCTGAGAGGAAGAAACCTGTATGAAGATTTTTCTAGAAGCTGCTTATTCATTTGTATATTCACAGTGTGTATTTTGTGTGGGTTACAGATTGAGGTTTATGGTTTAATTCTTTCCCTAATGAACACAGAGTGATTGCAGTAACTGTTCAATGATGTGATTAAAGTGTCTTAGATAAAGGGGGAGAGAGATACCTGCAGATATGTTAACAAAGGTTCTAAGCAGAGAACAACTTTTGAGTGTGCGTAAATTGCAGTCATGTTTAGATTCTGGAATGGTTGGATGAAATGGGGGAGGATGAGGAGATTTCACCCCTCCCATATCCAAGAATCTGCTGATGTTCTCTGCTGATTCTCCAGAGAGGAGGGGCGGTTTTCTGCTCTCTACTTATTCCGCTCCAGCACCACATCAAAGTGTCAGTCAGTGTCGAAGAGAGAGAGAGAGACTGGGTGTTAGAGGTCGTGTGTATAGATAAGGTTGCTGCTAAGAGCAGCTGCAGACACTCAGTGCAGTGCAGCATTCATTTATGCTTAGACCTCATTCAGCTCTGTATATAGTTGTGTATTATAGTTGTAGCATAGAATAAAGAAGATATTCTACAGAGCTGCTCTCCGAGTCGTTTATATGCTCTGCTAGACTCTGCTATACTCTGCTGTGTCGACTGACTGTCTTCTTGTGGAAGTGAATCCGGTGCTCACAACTCTAAGCTGTGAGTCCACAGCACTTTGACCTGTTCTTGTGCAGAAGGTGGTCTCTGGAAGTGCTACCCAGCTCGCCTAGCCCAGTTGGGGCTGAAGTGGATGAGTCCAGTTAGTGGCACTGGCTCAAAGGCGATGCTGACAGGAAGCTCGCATTCCAGACATTCCAGAACATAAGACTGGCAGCAGGCCCAGACAGGAGGAGGAAGCAATGGAGATCAGGGTGGTGCACGCCAAATCTGCTTCAAATGTTGCTTCCACTGGCAGAGAAGCAATGGAAGGAAACCAGGAAACGTTTTGTGTGCAACAGGCCAGGGCATCTTGCCAGGCAGTGTCCGCCCCGCAAGGCCTGGGAGTCACTGTCTGGCACAGAGGTGGGGGCCAGCAACGTGGCAAAGGAGCAAGAGCAGGGAAACAAGAGCGCCTGGCTGAAATTGGGGGCCGACAGCCAGGGGCAGGAGCAGTAAAAGAGCTCCAAGCTGACGCTCCAGTTCCAGGAATTACCATGATGGTGAAACTACAACTCCCAAACGGGCGTCAGCTGGAAGTTAAAGCTCTAGTGGACTCTGGAGTGTCAGCAAATTTCTTTGATATAGACTTGGCGCAGAAGCACCAGCTAGCCTTACACCTGTTGGATTTCCCTCTGAGGGGCAAAACAATCGATGGGTGACCACTGGTGGCTGGAGAGGTGGCGTACGAGACCCTGCCCATGAGGATGGAGGTATCACGCCATGCAGAGACGATGTCCTTCCATGTGACTAAGCTGGCGGGACACCCAGTGGTGCTGGGAATGAGTTGGCTGGCCAAGTATGACCCAGTGATAGCTTGGCGTCAACTGTCACTCACCTTTGCCTCTTCGCATTGTATTAAATATTGTTTGGGAGGTGGGGGAAGCAGGCAAGTGGGGGCAAAACAAGCTGAAGTAGACGGGGGGGAAACAAGGACTGATTTGACCATTTCCCCCCCTCCCCCAATACGCAGCCTACAGTGATGTTTTTAATGAAAAGGATGCCAACAAGCTGCCCCCCCCCCCCCCACAGAACATACGATTGCAAGCTAGATTGAATTCTGGGGGCCCAACTACTGCCTGGGAAACTCTATTCTATGTCTGAAGCAGAAACACAAGCTCTGAAAGAGTTCATTGACAAAAAATTTAAAGGGGGGTTTATCAGGGAATCCCATGCAGCAGGCGGTTCCCCGGGTTTTTTTTGTAGATGAGGAAGATACCAACTAAAAAAGACTTGTAGGTGATTTTAGGGAGGTGAACAGTCAAACACACCCCAGGGGGTGGATCAAAGTTCGTTCTTCTCCTAGTTGATGATTTTTCGAGGTCCTCTTGGGTTTTTCCGATTAAACACAAGGGTGAGGCTGCTGGGTTGATCAAAGATTGGATCACAGCAGTTGAGGTGACTTTTTCCACCAAGGTGAGAAACTTTCAGAGTGACAGGGGGTCAGAATTCACTGGTTCTGTGTTGCAGAGTTTCTTCCGCCAGAAGGGAATCAGCCACCGGCTGACAGCGCCTCACAGTCCACAACAAAATGAAGTTGCGGAAAGGAAGAATCACACTTTACAGGAAGCTGTTTCTGCTATCCTGTATGATGCAGGGCTCCCACAGCGCTTTTGGGCCGAAGCTTGGAAAGCTGCCAGCTTCACTTTGAACAGGTCCTATAGCTCTGTTGTAGGGGACACGCCCTATTTCCTGCTGCACGGTAAGAAGCCCAAAGGGCATTTCTTACGTGTGTTTGGTTGTGAGGCTTGGGTCCTCATTCCAAAGGCTTTACGCAGGAAGGGTGAACCAAGGTCCAAGAAGATGATCTTTGTGGGGTATAAACCTGGTTCTAAAGCTTGGAGGTTTGCATACCCGAGTGGTAACCAGTCTAGACTGGTAATCAGCAACAGCGCTGAGTTCTGTGAACAAGCTGGATGGATGCGTTTGCATGGCAACCCAGATGTTCTTTTACAGCAGTTCTTTGACTCAGATGAGGAAGAGGAGGATGAATCTGTTGCTGGGGATCAAAGTCCAGGGCAACAGAGTCCACAACAGGGGCAGCTTAGAATCCCTCAGAGGGGGAGGCCCAGAACGCCTCCTCAAACCACTGTCAAGTCTGAGACAAAGAGTGAGCCCTCCTCACCCGCAGGTCCAGCTGTAAGGTTCAAAAGGCGCAGCAGGTCAGAGGGGGAAGTTTCTGACATTGAGGATGGTCTTGCTGGCCCTAGTGGGTCAGAGGGGGAAACAGAGTTTACGCTGAGAAGATCAATAAGATCTACGAAGGGCAAGCCGCCTGACAGGTTCGAGGCCACAAGTGTGTGGGTTGGTGTGGCTAGGTGTGAGCCTGAAACCTTTGAGGATGTTCAAAGGATGCCTCAGGAGGAAGCCAGCAAATGGCATGAGGCAATGCAGCAGGAGTCAGAAGTCCTATGGAGGCTGGATACGTGAAAGACAGTCAGCAAGTAGAACGCGCTGTGTTCGAAAATGCTGAACTCTTTCAGTCAGCTCTGGGTAGTCTGTTGTATCTGTCCCAGTGGAGCAGACCAGACATAGCGTTTGCTATCAATCTGCTCAGCAGGGAAGCTTCAAGTCCAAGTGTACAGGCTTGGAATGGCATCAAGAGAGTATTGCGGTATCTGCAGGATGCCAAAGATTTTTGCCTTAAGTTGTCAGCTCAGGGTGAAGTCAAGCTGACTTCTTGGGTGGACTCTGACTGGGCTAACCTTGAGGCCAAATCTACTGACATTCTCTGTGTGTTCTAGAGGAGGAACTAGGCTGGCAGCTCAGTGTTCAGAAAAATGGCTCTAGGAAATCTCATGCAATCTGGGCACCCTATAGCTTTCCTATATAGATATAGGGAAATGTTTGCATTAGGGATGTTTGGGGGAAATGATTTCTGCTAATTTCAAGATGAATTTATCCAACTTTTACCTCCAGGATTAAAGTTCAGATCATTATAATGTCCTGGATTTTACACTTCTCCAGATTTTGCAGTAGTGTTCCCAGCACACAAAATCAGTAACAAAATGCATTTTTGCAAACAATATGCATTTAAATAAAAAAGTGAGTACATATTTTGTCTTGATTATTTATTTATTTTTACAATGCAGATGGATGCAGTAATGGAAAAGAAGTGGTTTATGAATAAACACATGCTGACACCCTCAAGCATGGTCTGTAATAGTGTTCGCCAATCTGGTGCCCTCCAGATGGTTTGGGCTGCAGGTCCCACAATCCTTGGGCAGCAAAATCATGCATTTAACTTTCTGGAAAAACCAAAGCAACGGAACTCCCAAATCCATCTCAAAACACCTTGTTAATTGTGGAATCCAACTTAGGAATGTGAGAGTCTGCCCTACATTGTCCCAATTTTCTCATGAATTGAATTACACATTGAAAGCTGATGTGGGCAGGTGGGGCTCGTCAATTTGGGAAGGTAGCCCATCTAGGAGAAGGAAAACTCTGTGGGAGATCTTCAGGAGAAGAAAAGGCTAATGAGTAAACCTTACACAAATCCAGAGTGGAGTCTCTAAGGTGATTGTATGGTGCCTTGTATGCCTCTTTCATCAACTACTGCAGCCAAGCTAGCACCATATGTATTCCTCTGCTTTCCTTTGGACCACTTCAATGAGGCCAAGAGGGAGGTCTTGTCGTCTAGACAGACCAGGACTTCCATACACACTGCCCAGGCCTGCACCCTAGGGAGGTCACATCAGTGCTGCTAACGCAGCAGTTTGACTTCACCCCTAGAGGCGCTGCTTCTGCTTCCTGTGCAGAAGGCATCTTGGCACAGGGTATGAAATGCGCCATTTTTGTCAACATGTCCACTACTACTAGAATCACTGTCTTCCTCTGAGACACTGGCAAGTCGGTGATAAAATCCATAGATACCATCTCCCACGGTTTGTGAGGTGTGGGCAAAGGTTGGAGCAAGCCTGCAGGCGCTGCCCTTTCCCCTTTTGCCCTTTTGCCCTTTGGCAAACCGAACAGCCCCTGACGTACTCTGCTACGTCCTCCTTAATTCTGGGCCACCAGAATTCCTTGGTAATCAAGTACATAGTCTTATTACGCCCAAAATGCCCCGCTGTCAGATTGTCATGATGTTGCCTGAGAATTCTTGCCCTTAATTCCCCATCTGGCACATACAGCGCCCCCTTGTAATAAAGTAAACCCTCTTTTTCTTCAAAACACCCTCCTCTGCCTTCGTTTTGTCTTACTTCTAACAGTTTCCTTTGTGCATACTTGTCCCTTTCTGTGAGTGTCTGCAGCTCTTGCTCCCTTACTATGGTGGCTGCGCATTGCCATTGCTCAGGTTTAAACACATACCTCTCCGTTGGAGCCTCTTGCCCTTCCATGTATTCTGGCTTCCTAGATAGCGCATCTGCCCTTGCATTCTGCACCCCTGGCACGTATCCTATCTTGAAGTTAAAGCCTGACAGGAATTCCGACCAGCTGACCTGTCTCTGATTAAGCAGTATAGCCTTCCTCCAGTACTCCAGGTTTTTGTGATCTGTATACACCTGCACCTGTTGCTGTGTACCTGCTAAGAAATGCTTCCAAATTCGGAACGCATCAAAAACGGCTAAAAGCTCCTTGTCAAAAATCGTGTAATTCTGCTCAGAGCGGCTTAGCTTCCTGGAATGAAAGGCACATGGCCTCCAGTTTCCTTCTCTATCCTGCTGGAGTAACACTGCACCTATAGCCCTATCTGATGCATCTGTCTCAACCCTCATGGGTTTTCATGGCTCTACGTGTATCAGATACTCTTCTGAGGCAAACACCTTCTTTAATTTCTCAAAGGATGCCTGTGCCTCAGGCATCCAATAGAAAGCCTTCTTTCCTCTCAAGCAATCGGTTATAGAGGCTGTGATTTGTGCGTAATTGGGTATAAAATTTCTATAATAATTACTGACGCCTATGAACCTTTGAACATCTTTCTTCGTTTTGGGTGGCTTCCATTCCAGCACACTTTTCACCTTTTCCTTTTCCATGTGCACACCTCCTGCTGAGAGGCGGTAGCCCAAAAATTCCACTTCTTGCACGTGGAACTGGCACTTCTCTAACTTGGCATACAACTTATGCCTTTTAAACTTCTCCGATACCTCCTTCACGTGTTTCACATGCTCCTCCTCAGTTTCTGAGAAGATTAGCACACCATCCAAATAACACACACAGTTTTTGTACAGCAGTGACCTCAATACGTGCTGTATAACAGATTGAAACGTGGGCGTGCCCGCCTGTAAGCCATAGGGCATGACTAAGAACTCATATGACCCAAAAAGGGTGTAAAATGTGGTTTTCCACTCATCTCCCTCTCAGATTCTGATCAGATTATACGCCCCCCTCAAGTCCAACTTTGTGAAGATTTTCCCAGTCCTAACTTTCGTCAATAAATCTCCTATCTTTGGTAATGGATAGGCTATGGGTACTGTTACACTGTTCAAACGCCTGTAATCACACACCAGCCTCACCTTATCCGTGTTTTTCTTGCTTACTAAGAAAACTGGGGAACCTCCTGCTGCAGTGGATTCTCTGATGAAACCGTTTTTCAAGTTCTTGTCCAAGAACTCCTTCAGAGCCTGCGTCTCTGCCTCTGACATAGAATAAAGCTTCCCAGGGGGTAATCTGACCCCTGGCACCAAGTCTATCTTGCAGTCATACTCCCTGTGGGGGGGGGCAGCTTATCTGCCTCCTGCTCACTGAAAACATCCTTATAGGCAGCGTAGTAATGGGGTATGTTCACTTCTTCCATGTGAACTCCTTCCCTTTCCACATTTGCCCCCCTGACTCCCACTGGTTCACCCCTCTTTCTCCCCAAACAATTCTGGAGGCAGTGGGCCGAAGCAAACGTGAGTGACCTTTGGTGCCAAGCTATAGCAGGGTCATGCTTGGCCAACCAACTCATGCCCAGTACCACGGGGTGTCCACTCAGCTTAGTCACATGAAAAGACAGCGTCTCAGCGTGGCAATCCACCTCCATCCTCATGGGCGGGGTCTGGTACACGACATCCCCTGCCACCAGGGGCCTTCCATCAATCGTCTGGACCTGTAAGGGAAAATCTAAAGGAATTAGTGCCAGCCTCTGCTCCAGGGTCAAGTCTATGTCAAAAAAATCTGCGGACGCCCCAGAGTCTATTGAAGCATGAACAGTCAGGTGGCTCCCATTTGGGAGTTGTAGTTTCACTGCCAAAGTGATTCCAGGGACTGGAGCACCGGCTCGGAGACCTCTTAGTTCTTCCTTTCCTGCCTGTGGGCCTCCACTTCCAGCCAGGTCTTCTCCTTTCCCTGGTCCTGCACTTGTGCTCCATCACCTTCCCTCATCTCTGCGCCTGACAAGGATTCCCAGGCATGCCGTTTTGGACAGTGTTTGGCAATATGTCTGGGCTGGTTGCATAGGAAACACTTCCTGGTCTCTATCCAGCCCCTCCTCTCCTCCTTGGTTGTTGTGCTAATGGTTGAAGTGGTTTTGGCGTGCACAGCCCCCAATTCCATCGCCTCCTCCCCATTCTTTCTGGGCCCGCCGCCAATTCTACGCTCTGGAATCTCAGGAATGCAGTTTTCGCGCCAATATCTCTTGGTTGCAATCTTTCTCTCTGCCTCCCTCAATCCAATCTGAAGGCAGATTCTCACAAGTTCATCAAAGTTAGAAGGTTCTGGCATTCTGGCCAGCTGGTCTTGAACCTCAGCTTTCAAACCTCCTCTGAAAATCACTTCCACCGGTGGAGAATCCATAGGCCACTGTAGCTGGTGTATTAACGTAGTGAACTGAGCCCAGTAAACTCTTACTGGCCTGCTACCTTGTTTCAAGCTCAGGAGCTGCTGTGATGTAACCTTCATATGCAAGACACTTAGGAACACAGCGTCCATCATATCTATAAAGTCTTTTACGCTCCTCAGGGCAGCGTGATTCCCAGCCATCAGGGGAATCACCCAATCTTTCACATTTTTTTCGAGGTGAGCGATAATAAATCCAACTCACTCCTGATCCGATCTAAAGTCATTTTTTCTCAGCTCCAACATGTATAGCACCTCTGTCTGGAAGCTGGAGTACCGCTGGCTGTCCCCATCAAATTTATTGAGGTGTAAGGGTACAATCTTGCTAGCCTTGTTTGCTTTCTCAGCCTCCAATAATTTAACTTGCAGGTCTAATTTATTAGCAAGTTGTTCAACTTGCGATTGCAGCACCACATTTTGCTGCCAGACTGCCTCCATCGATAGCCCTCCTCCGGCTCCCCCAGCCGCTCCCTTCGGCGGTTCAGGCGTACCTTTTTTGTCTTTCAATGGGTTCTGCATGGCTCCGCTTCCCTTTCCTTGCGAAGAGAACGGTGACTGCAAGAATGCTGTGATGGCTTGAGAGCGCTCTCCGCAAGAAATGCCTCTGCTCACTCAGAGATACATATATACATCCTTTATTTTACATATGTACAAGCAGCACGCATAATCATGCATCTGAATCCTCCGGCTCAGATTCTTGGAGTGCCTTACGGCCGCCCCTTCTCCAGCAGAAAAGGTGTGGAATTCTCATGTGATGTCTCTGTCCCCTCCTCTTTAACACCCTCCTTTCCTGGGCAGATGGAACAGGCATTGCTTCACTGTCCATGCCACAGCTTCCTGTGCGGTGTTGAGGCTCTGTTCCAACATCTGTGAGTCGTTCCTCCTCCTCACTTTCCCTTCTTTCCCCCACCGTCACTTCCTGCCCCCCTTCCTCTGCCTGTCTCTCCTCTTCCCCTTCATTCTCCGTCAATACCATGACACCTTGCTTGGTTCCTTTCTCAATTTTAATTTCCTCCAATACCACATTATTAACAATGATTTTAGCTTTTTGTTCAGAATAGATCGCCTTAATACTATTTAAAAATTGTTGGGTTTTTATATTTCAATAAAAAGCCAAGAAATATTGTCGAAGGCTTTCTCTGCATCACTAAACATTAATAATGCTTTGCAGTCTCTTTTAGACTCTAATCTTTCCAAAATGTCCACTGTATTTCTAATATTATCTTTCATATGTCTTCCAGGCAGGAAATCTGCCTGGTCTTTATGTATATACGGTATTCTGTCAAAACCTTTTTCAGTCTATTTGCCAAAATATTTGCAAATATTTTATAATCTACATTTAGTAGTGAGATTGGTCTATAATTCTTTACATCTGATCTATCTTGGTCAGATTTCGGTATCAGAGTTATATATGCGTCTCTCCAGGTTTCAGGTGCCCTCTCCCCTCTCAATATCTTGTTACAAACCTCTGCTAATGGATGAATTAACCAATCTTTAAAGGTTTTATAATATTTAGCAGACAATCCATCTGGTCCTGGGGCCTTGCCCAATTGCATCTGGTTTATTGCTATTTGAACCTCTTGTCTTGTAATCATATCATTGAGTAGTGGTGATCTTTTGTCTCCGGGAATTTTCTGCAATTCATTTATCCTAAGAAATTGCTCAATTTTGTCTTTGTCTTCTTTACCTTTTTTATACAGCTGTTTAAAATATTTCTGAAAACATTTTCTAATATCTCCAGGGTTTTCCACAGATTTTCCCTCCAATACAATATTTGTGATCGTATTTTCTTTCTATCTCTTTTTTAATTGCCAAGCCAACAATTTCCCACATTTATTTGCAGATTCAAAATTTCTCTGTTTCATTAATTTTATTTTCCATTCTATTTCTTGATTTATAATTTGAGAAAATTGAGTCTGCAAAGCTTTAATTTATTTTTGTATCTGTTGGCTTTTAGGCTTTGATCTTAAATTCTTTTCTTTCTCTTTTATTTGAGATAGAATTTTTTCCTTTTTTTCATTTTGTATCTTTTTCTTTATAGCATTCTGTTGTATGAGGAAACCTCTCATAACTCTGCCAACTTTAGACAGGGTTGATTGTCCTCCCAAACAGTGACGGGCAAGCAACACTCCCCACAGATTTCCTGAACCAGACATCTGTAGAACTCCAGTTCCCGGCACAGCTCCAACAGTGCACTTAGCTCAGCTTCAGTAGAGGACAGCGCAATGAGACTCTGCTTCTGGGACTTCCACCCAACTAGAGATTCCCCAAACTTTAACACCATCCCAGATACAGACTTTCTGTCATCCAGATTCACCCAGTCACTATCTGTACAGCATGTGAGCTTGGCGTCACCTGTAGCTGACAGTTTGAGCTGGAAGTCCTTGGTATCCTGCAGGTATCTCAGCACCTTCTTAATACTATTCCAGGCACTCACACTGGGCTTTGTAGCTTCCCTGCTGAGCAGATTGGTAGCAAATGCAATGTCCGGCCTGCTCCACTGGGAAAGATACAGCAGACTACCCAAAGCTGACTGAAAGATCTCAGTGTTCTCGAACTCGGCACGTTCTGCTAGCTGACTGTCTTTAACGTAGCTTGTCTCCATGGGTATTCTAACCCCTACACAAGCAACTGCTCAATCTTGCCTTTCTGACTGAGCAAGAAGCTTCCATCTTCAGACCTGTCTATCTGTACCCCTAGGTAGACCTTCACTGAACCCAGGTTCTTGAGTTGGAAATGTTTTCCAAGCTCTTTGGCAAACTTCTGCACCTGCTTGTCTGCCCCTGAGACATGAATTATGTCATTTAAAAAAACTAAGACCTGTTCTTGTGACTCTCCTAACCCTTTCAGGTACAGGCAGCTGTCAGCAAGACTCTTCTTGAAACCTAAACTCCCTAAGGCTTCATTCAGACACAAGTTCCAATTCCTGGCCGACTGTTTCAAACCATAAATGGACTTGTGATGCTTCCATACAGCATCCAGCCTATTGCCCTCAAACCCTGGAGGAGGAAGCATGTACAGATCCTCCTGAAGGTCTGAGTTCAAATAGGCCACATCCACATCAAAGTGGTGCACCTGCAAACTTCTCTGCATCAATGGCTAAGAGCATGCGCAGTTTCACTTCAAGAAGTGGGAGCATATACCTCAGTGTAATGCAGCCCCTTCCACTGTGTGAACCCTCTGGCTACTAGCCTAGCCTTGTACTGTGGTCCTCCAGTTGCTGTGGGTTTAAGACGGTAAACCCAGTGACTGCTCACGGCCTGCTTGCCTTTGGCAACGTCGTGAGGGAGGACACACCTAGAGACTCCATTGATCTCATCTCTTTCTGCACTGCCTCATGCCATTTCCTGGCTTCTTCCTGAGGCAGTTTCTGAACATCCTCAAAACTCTCAGGTTCATATTGAGTCATACCAATCCACATGCTGGTGGCCTCAAACCTGTCGGGTGGTTTACCTTTAGTGGTGAGAGCAGAATGTCTCAGCACAACTTCAGGTACCCCCTCTGACCTGCTAGGGCCAGCCAGAATGTCCTTGCTGTCAGAGAACTCCCCCTCTGACTTACTGCGCCTTCTGGACTTCCCAGCTGGACCTGTGGGTGAGGAAGGAGAGCTCCTTTGCTCAAGCTTCACAGCTTTAGGAGACCCCTGTTCCTGCTCTGGGTTGGGACTCTGTGCCTCAGCAGCAGGTTCAGCCTCCACCTCTTCCTCATCAGCAGAGTCAAGCAGACTCTCTGAAAGAACATCAGGGTTCCCATGTATGCGTGTCCACCCACTCTGCTCACAGAACTCAGCACTCCTGCTGATTAGAACCCTGGACTGATTGCCACTTAGATAGGCAAGTCTCCACCCCTTGGTCCCTGGCTCATACCTACAGAAAACCATCTTTTGGGACCTAGGGCCACCCTTTCTGTGCTTGGCCTTTGGCACAAGGACCCAAGCCTCGCAACCAAACACACAGAAGAAATGCACCTTGGGCTTCTTGCCATGCAGCAGGAAATAGGGTGTGTTCCCTACAACAGAACTGAATGAACGGTTCAGAGTTAACAAAACATTCCGCCATGCTTCCCCCTAAAACCTCTGGGGGAGCCCAGCATCAAAAAGCATAGCTTGCAACATCTCCTGAAGCATTCTGTTCCTGCATTCCGCAACGCCATTCTTCTGGGGACTGCGCGACAGTCAGCCTATGGCATATCCCTTTCTGGCGAAAGAAACTCTGCAACGCAGACCCGGTGAACTCTCCACCACAATCTGATTGAAAGCTTTTAACACGCAATTAGTATTGTAACTCAACTGTTGTTATCCAGTCTCCCACTAACGCTGCAGCTTCACTTTTGTGCCTGTGTGCCTGAAGAGCTGCAGAGAAATCCAGCTGGAGCTTCTGCTATGCTGTGTGGTTAAGGCAAGGCAGAGAGATCGCTGGGAAGAAAGAATCTGGCTGAAGGAAGCATCTCCTCGGAAGCCGGCTGGCAGGCGTGAGTACTTGGCCCTTGGGGGAGGAGATGGCAGAGCTTCAGGAGACCTTTAATGTCCCATTTGAGAGGATCAGTGGGCAGAACTGGGAGGACTGGTCCAGAAGAGTGAGGGCATGGCTCACAGTGAAGGGTCTCTGGAACTGCACTCAGAGGGAACCTACCCCTGCTGCTGCTGGAGCCGATAAAGCAGCAAGGTTAGCAGCTGCTAATGCGCTGAGAAGAGACCAGAGAACAATGGGGCTTTTAATCCCTGCTTTGGATTCCTCAGCCCAATGATCAGGGATGATGGGAGCTGAAGTCCAGCAATATCTGAAGGAGAGCAGGTTCACCATCCCCTCTGAAGAGACAAAGATTTATAGCATTTTAAAAGGAAAACAGAATTCTCTAATTCACTATCAGTTTTATGTGTGATATGATACTGAACATTGAAAATTTATATCCCACTGTTTCATAGAATAGGAACACTGCATTTTAGACTAGTCTGCCCTCACATTCCTGAGTCCAGCAATCAAGACATTTGGGGAAGCTGGCAGCCTAAATGGAGATTAGGAATATGAGAAATATAGTAATTCTCTAGTTTGGGTGCAAGGATGCTCTTGCAGAGTAGGGGCGTGTGCACACATGGCGATCAGGGCTAGGCATGCACTATTGCAGTTCTCCAGAAAATCTTGCACTAAGGAAACTCCATTTCCCAAATCACAATAAAGGATAAAAATTAAACTTTATATATATATAAAATACATTTAAATAATGTGCACAATTTATGCTACTTTTAAGATGAAATATTTCAATGGATGTTGGAGTTTTCTTTTTCTTTTTTATATAATTTTTTATTAGGTTTTTTTAAAAAATATCATTTTCAGCAGTAATTAAACATACTTCTACGTCTTATACAATTTTTTTGACTTCCATCAATCACATCTGAAAATTTTCCAATCTAATCACTTAATATACATTTCTTACTTCTTTCACTATTACATTTAAATCTCATAACTAATATCTCTATTCTTTTTCTTCTTTGCAATGTTTCATATATTTCTCCTTACAAA